ATATTACTTGAACAAAACCAATAACTAACATCTGTAGTTTAAGTGTATATAAAACTAAAATGCAAGACAACAATAATGCATAAAAGGTAGAGAAGGGGAAGCAGTATCATGAGTTGATAATTTGTATTAAACTAGTGTCAAGATATTTCATGCATGTTGAAATCTGTAGGGTAAGCTCTAAAATAATTGTAAAAGAATATCTAAGGCCAGGTGTGGGTACTCATGCCTGTAATCCCAGCACTTTGGGAGACTGAGGCAGGAAATTGCTTGAGCCCAGCAGTTCAAAACCAGCCTAGGCAACATAAAGAGACCTTGTCTCTACAAACAAAAATTAGCCTATGATGTCACAATTTGGATACTTATATAAATAATAAATAATAAGGAAAAGGGTTTTGAAAATCTGCCTAATAATTTACAAGGCAGTAGAAATGGGATAATAATTTTTTTTTTTTATTAATCCAAAAGAAAAAAAAATGAGAGAAAAAAAGAAACAAAACTAGTGAGCCAGGTAGAAAAAAAAAGTAAGATGGCAGACAGAAGTCCAACTAAAACAGTGATTGCATTAATTAGAGTTTTTCAGTAGCAGCACTGTTGACATTTTGGGTTGAATAATTGCTTGTTAGTGAAGGGCCAACCTGTGCATGGTAAGCTGCTTAGCAGCATCTCTGGCATCTACATTGGTCCTCTATGTATCTACTAAGTACCGGTAGCACTCCAAGATGTTACAGCCTAAAATGTCTCCAGACATTGCCAGATGTCCTGTAGAAGAAAAAAATCGTTGACCCTGGATTTGATACCATTGGAAAAGTCAACATCATCTCAATCAGAATCCCAGCAGGATTTCTGTAGATGTAACATGTTGATTCTAATATTGATAAAGGGATACAGAGGACCTAGAATAGCAAAGACAAACTTGAAGATGAGGAATGAAACTGAAGAACATACACTATCTGATTTCAAAATTTACTATAAAGGTACAGTAATTAAAAGACAGTGTATAATTGGCATGAAGACATGCAGAGTAATGAAGCAGAGCAGAGTTCAAAAATAGCATCACACATAGAGTCTAGATATAGACCCACACACCTGACAAAGGTCACAATGAAATAAAGTGGGGAAAAGAAGATCTTTCCAGTTAAAGGGATCGTGTCACTTGGCTGTCCATATGAAAAATATATATAAGAGTGGACCCCAAAAAACCCAGAATTTATAAAATACTGTGTATTCTTACATGGTTAAACTTCAGTTACCTTCAAGGCATTCTCCATTTGATGCAATACACCTATCAAGATGCTTTTTCCACTGCTCAGAACAGTTTTTGAACTTACCAATTTTTATGTCTTTTAGTGCTTCTGTCTTTTGTTTCACCTCTTCCACATCAGCAGAACATTTCCCTTTGAGGACTTCTTTCATCTGGGGAAACAAAAAAAAAAAGTCGCTCAGGATTATAGCGGGTGAGTAGGGAGGATGGGGCATGGGGACCATGCCGTTTTTGGTCAAAAATGACTAAATACTCAGTGCATTCGGCAGGTTGTTTGTGTAAATTACCCATCATGACATGGGCAAACACATTGAAAGAAACTCTTTTAAAAAATTTCACTGAAGCTGAACATAGCCTCTCACAACGATGCTAGCTGGTACACTGATGCCAATAGGTTCCTAGAACACTTAACTAGCAGAGGAAGCCAATACTACAAGGAGCCCAACCACCAAAAAAGTAGTTCCAGTTTTGGGGGTTTTTTTGGTCCCCCTCATATACACAGCATGCTAAATACTGTCAACAGGTTTGTGCAGGGGTAGGAAAAAGGAGGCAAATGTGAAATAGTATCATCTGTTTTAAAAATTGTACGTTTTTTAATTTATATGACTGCAGGCTAGAGTTCAGGGAGTGAAATGATGAAGATTTTTGGCCAGACGGGCTGGCACCTGCTGCTGAAGGGCTCTGTATGCCATGGCAATGCCTAGGTATGCCTAGTCCAAGAAGTGTTTGTACTTCAGCAGGCTATGGAAAGCAGTTGAAGAATTTTAAGCAAGAGGAAAATGATCAGATTTTTGTTTCAGAAGGATTAAGTGTCCGTGTGAAATGTGGATTCAAGAAAGGCAAGCACAGAAGCCTGGGGGCCAGAAAGTAAATTTATAGTTACCCCAACATTAAACACATGGTTATCAGCAGATTGGAAAGATGTCAAAGGGCTAGAATTGATGAATTGTAGGAAATGGTGGAATGAAGAGAGAAGAGAAAGAAAGAAATTCCAAGGTTTCTAGCTTGAGTGAGGACCATAAATCAGAGGGACTTCAGTAGAAAGTAGATGAATTCTGTTTTAGACATACAGTGTATACCCATTTCATGAGGTCTACTACAGTTTCAGTTATATAATCTGAGAACATAGTTTAGGAACCGTCACCTGGGGGATCCCAAGTTATCATCTTGAAACTCCTGAGGTGAATAACAGAGGTGCAGAGCCGTTACCCTCACCCCAACTTTAACAAGAGACCCTCAGATTCTATCTCTTGCATACTGAGCTTCCACTTAAATATTCTACTTGAAAAAAGTTTTTCATACCAAAAGAAAATAAATATTACCAGTGCTTTCTTTTTCACTCTTTTCCATCTTAGGTCTCTGTTTGAACAGAGTTCAAGTGTCTTCTTTGGTAGGATATACGAATGGTACCTTTTTTTGCATATTGTTCTTCCACCTTGACAGATGAATGTCTTCGCTGCAGATGGTATCTGGGAGAGCCACAATAGTTTATCTGCAGTCAGTAGATGGTATTCCCCTGTCTTCTAGTGTTCATTGTTACAAGCGAGAAGTACAAAGCCAGTATCTTTTTTTGTAAGCTATTTGTTGTTCCTTCCTAAAAGCATGTGTGATTTTTCTCTTCATCTTTAGAGTTCAGGAATTTTACCAGAATGTGGACAAGTGTGTATCATTCAGGCTTTTCAATCTCCAGGTAGATTTTTTTGCAACTGAGGAAGATGTTCGCCTTCCAAATCCCCAGTTATTTATATATTGGTTCTCCCAGATCTGTCCTCTTCAATTTCCATCTCTTTGTTATTCCTGCTCAGAGTTAAGACAGCTCTACTTGATCTCCAAAGCTCTAATTGAGTCTCAGCAATTAGCCATCTTTTAAAAAAATGTAATCAATTGAGTTTTTTCAGTGTGGTAAATTAGTTTTAATTCTAAGAAATTTCTTTTGTCTTGTAATTGAACTTATTTAATTGCTCTTTGTATTATTAATATTATTCAGCTTTTGCCTGCCTCTTTTTAGTACTTCTGTTCATCTAAGATTCACCCTCTCAAGGAGTGCTGAAATGCTGTTCCTACCTTGAATGCTGGGTCCCATTAAGCAGTTGTTATATTTTCCTTTCCTACTTATTGATCAGACTTCCAGTATCTCAGGCAAGGGGATGGCATAGCAGCCTCTGGATCATCAGTGGATGAGCCAGTGCCGATGCAGTGTCATTAGTTCCCAGCTAAACTTTGTGGCATCCATGCGTGGCATTGTTCCTAGCCTGGGATTTGGAAGATTCAAGTTTCCTGTCCCTGGCTTCGTGGGCCACAGAGACCAGCAGTGCCCTTCCTCACAGGAGTCCATGGAGCTCTGCAGGCCAGACTCTTGACCAGATTGTGAGAGTCCTGATTGTGTTCTGGAGCCCCTCTTGACTCAAGGGGAAAATCTAGCACTAGCTCTCTCTCTGAACTAAACAGGTCCTGTCCGTACCCATCAGGCACTTACTTGCCTGCCAGCCTGTGGGCTTTGGGTTCAGGAGTATTTATGGCATTAGGGCTAGAGAGATGCAGCAGAAGAAGCACTTTCTTGCCATTATCTTTTCAGAATTCCCAGCAAGTAGAGAAAGAGAGACCATCAGACTAGGTGAACTCTAATCCTCCATCCAATGCCAGCATGTTACAGTTGTACACATTTATGGTCTCCAGCTTAGCTCAGTCCTCAGTACCCTGGGGCCACACTTTTATGTCTTTCCCAGCATGCTCTGCTTCCCCAGAGGGAATATTTGAGACTTTTATTTCTCTTCTCAAGTCCTCTGTTTATCCTCCTTCTTGTTCACTGTCAGTCCATGACTTTGAATTTCTCTTCACAGAGCAAAGGTGGACTCTGGGGTATTAAGTGTCTCAGTGTCTTTGCTTATCTATAAGCCTGTCTTCTTTGCCTGCCTGCCAACTATCTTTCCATCCTGCTGGAATCTGTCTACTCCCGTGATCTCTGTGATAGTGCATGCTCCTGGGTTTTCCCATCCAGGCACTTCCTTTCACTTTGTGTTGCTTTCCGTCTCACCCAACTATGATCCCTTCCATATTCCTGGCTACAAGGGGATCTTTTCAATGCATAAAGTTGATCATATCACTGCCTGCTTGAAGCCTCTCAGTGACAAAAACAGGCAGAACTAATATGTAGTCATAGAAGTCAGAATAGTGCTTACCTCAGAGCAGGCAGAATAGGAATTGATTGCAAAAGGGCATGAGGGAGCTTTCTGTTCTGTATCTTACTTTGGGTAGTGGGTCTGTACATACATAAAAATTCACTGAGCTGTATGTTAAGGTAACGTATTGTACTCTGTGTGTACCCCGTTTTAAAAACATGGACCTCTCAGTGGCTCTCCATCACTGCCACTGGTTAAAATCCCAGTTCCTTAAAATAGCTCCTAGATTCCTGTTCATTCCTTCCTCAAGTCTTGCCCCAAGCATCTTCATGTGCAGCCCATCCTGCTCTCCTGGGGATATGACTCCTTCACACTCAAGAGCATGAGCATAGGCTATCATCCTTCTTACAAGTCTGTATTGTAGCTATGTATTTGGTTCCCTCACTAAACTGGGGGCTCCCTAAGAATGAGAGCCATCTCTTTTCAGTTTCATTGTACTCCCGGTGCCCTGTGCAGAGGCTGGCACATAGGCCCCCAGTGAATGTTAATGAATGAATGCAAGTTCATTTAGTGTTTGCTTTGAACTTGGTCTTCTTTACTGAAAAGTGTCCTTCCTCCAGCCTGCAGGATGCTTCCTCAGTGAGAGGAGGGCTGTGGCATGATGGCCGTTTTTGATACTCCTGAGGAGGCCTTTGGTGTCCTACGTCCAGTCTGTGTTCAGCTCACAAAGACCCAGACGGTGGAGAATGTGGAACATCTGCAGACACGACTGCAAGCCGTGAGCGACACTGCCCTTCAGGAACTTCAGCAGTATATCCTCTTCCCTCTGCGCTTCACCCTGAAGGCCCCAGGCCCCAAAAGAGAGTGCTTAATTCAGAGCGTGGTGGAATGCCTCACATTTGTCCTCTCTTCAACATGTGTGAAAGAACAGGAGCTTCTCCAGGAACTCTTTTCAGAACTCTCTGCTTGTCTGTATTTGCCCAACTCCCAGAAGCCTGCAGCTGTGTCAGAGGAGTTGAAACTGGCTGTGATCCAGGGACTCAGCACCTTAATGCACTCTGCTTATGGGGACATCATTCTGACTTTTTATGAGCCTTCCATGCTGCCACGTTTAGGATTTGCTGTGTCTTTACTGTTAGGCCTTGCAGAAAAGGAAAAATCAAAGCAAATTAAAATTGCTGCCTTAAAATGTTTACAGGTTCTACTCTTGCAGTGTGATTGTCCAGATCATCCAAGGTCCTTAGATGAGCTTGAACAAAAGCAGCTGGGGGATTTGTTTGCTTCTTTTCTACCTGGAATCTCAACCGCACTGACCAGAGTTATCACTGGAGACTTTAAACAAGGTCACAGCATTGTCTTGTCTTCCCTGAAGATCTTTTACAGAACAGTGAGCTTCATTATGGATGATGAACAGCTCCAAGGAATCTCAAAGGTCCAAGCAAAGCATGTAGTTGAGCACAGAGTAGCAGACCTGATGGTTCACAGGGAAGCAGATTGGGTAAAAAATACTGGTGACAAATTGACCATCCTTATTAAAAAGATAATTGAGTGTGTTTCAGTTCACCCCCACTGGAAGGTGAGGCTGGGACTGGTAGAACTTGTGGAGGACCTTCTTGTGAAGTGTAGTCAGTCACTGGTTGAATCTGCTGGTTCACTTCTGAAGGCTTTAGTTGGCCTAGTAAATGATGAGAGTCCTGAAGTCCAAACCCAGTGCAATAAAGTTCTGAAACATTTTGCAGATCAGAAAGTAGTGGTAGGCAACAAAGCCTTTGCTGACATCTTGTCAGAAAGCCTGCATTCCCTCTCCACATCTCTTCCCCGCCTAATGAACTCCCAAGATGATCAGGGCAAATTCTCTACTCTCTCCTTATTGCTTGGTTATCTGAAGCTCTTGGGCCCCAAAATAAACTTTGTCCTCAATTCTGTGGCCCATCTCCAACGCCTTTCCAAAGCACTCATCCAAGTTCTAGAACTAGACGTGGCTGACATCAAGATTGTTGAGGAGCGGCATTGGAACTCTGATGATCTGAATACTTCTCCAAAAACTTCAGCTGCACAGCCATGGAAGCACATCCAGAGAAGATATTTCCGCTTCTTCACTGATGAGAGGGTTTTCTTGCTCTTGCGGCAGGTTTGTCAGCTACTTGGTTACTATGGGAACCTTTATTTGCTTGTAGATCACTTTATGGAACTGTACCATGAATCTGTGGTTTATCGGAAGCAAGCTGCCATGATCCTTAATGAACTGGTTGCAGGGGCTGCTGGGCTGGAGGTGGAGGATCTTCATGAAAAACATATTAAAACAAGCCCAGAGGAACTGAGAGAGATAGTGACATCTATACTTGAAGAATACACAAGTCAAGAAAATTGGTATTTGGTTACCCGTATCGAAGCTGAGGAAATGGGAGACGATCCCATGAGGAAGCAGTCAGACCTCCAGGCCATCACGTCTGATGGACACACCTGTCAGCTTACATCTTTTCTAGCCTTCTCAAAGCCCAGTCCCACTATTTGCTCCATGAACAGCAACATCTGGCAAATATGCATCCAGTTGGAAGGAATTGGCCAGTTTGCATATGCATTAGGAAAAGACTTTCGTTTGCTCTTGATGTCAGCCCTCTATCCAGTACTGGAGAAAGCTGGGGACCAAACCCTACTCATTAGCCAAGTGGCTACCGGCACCATGATGGACATTTGCCATGCTTGTGGCTACGACTCTCTGCAGCACCTGATCAATCAAAATTCAGACTATTTAGTGAATGGGATCTCTTTAAATTTGCGTCATCTGGCCCTGCACCCTCACACCCCAAAGGTTTTGGAAGTCATGCTGCGGAACTCGGATGCTAACCTGCTTCCTCTGGTAGTAGATGTGGTTCAAGATGTCTTGGCCACCTTGGACCAATTCTACGATAAGAGAGCTGCTTCCTTTGTCAGTGTTCTGCACGCCCTGCTGGCAGCATTAGGTACACTGAGAGCCCTTTTTAATGCTGATTTGGGAGATTCAGTATCCTAGTTTGCCTGGCCCTGTGTTTTGTGTTGGTTTTGGTTATGCTGTGGAGGACATTTGAATGGTTGTCTCTCCAGTCCCACATGTTATGATAGGGTTTCATTGTTTTATTTTTTATACTTTCAGTAATCTCTACCATTTCTTGAGCTCCTGCTCCGTGCCAGGGATATGAACTCTGAAGACTAAATGTAAACATCATTATTATTTTATAAATAAGAAAAATTAAGGGTCAGTGAGATCCTCCTTAGCCAAGGTCACACAATTAATAAAGAAGAAAGTCAGAATTTATGACAGTTTTGTTTTTTCCAATGTACCAAACTGCTTGTCATGATACTTAGAGTTAGCAGTGTCTGTGTTAATGAATAATAGGAATAATGTGACTCATTCAGGCCACGTAGCGTCTAGAACAGTATTATCTAACAGAACTTTCTGTGATGGTAGAAATAATCTAGTCACATGTGGCTAATACAACTGAGGAACTGAATTTTTTTTATTTTACTTAATTTTTGTAGCCATATGTAGCTGATGACTACCATATTGGACAGAGTAGGTCTAGAAACTTCCTTTTAATCTTTTGAGGGAGTGAATTGGTTAGTTTCTCTCCTTCCCTTTGATCTTCTCAGGTGCCTGCCGGAGATGTTAGCCACTATTTGAATAGCAAAATTTCCTACTACAATATAAGAAAAGGAATCCCTCAATTGGACAGTCCATCTTTTAATGAAAGAATAACGAGCTATATACCTGGTTCCCTTTTATCTAAAGAGCACATTTCCAGTATTTATTTCAGTGTTGCCAGTAGCCTCTGAGGCAGGTAGAATGGTTGCTCTCCTCATTTTGTCAGTTGAAAAAGCCAAGACCATGTAAGAAACTTTCTCAGAGAAAGTGACTGGGGCAGGGACAGTCCTCTGCCCTGTGGCTGATGCCATTTCCAATGTTCACTTATTCACTCATGTATATTTACATACAGTATAAATATTCTCTTTTTCATTCATGCAATAAAGAGTGCCTACCATATGTCAGACACTGCCAAGAAATGGAGATACACCAGTCAAAAAGGCAAGTAAACTTATGGAGCTTTCCTGCCACTGCAAAAGAGATGACAAGCAAGTAAACAAATAAGTCAACAAGCACACTGTAGATGCAGCTCATCACTGAAGGAAGCAAGCACCTTGATGCAAGGGAGTAGCAAGGATAGGTTGCTTAAGTTGAATGGTCAAGGAATGCCTCTCTGAGGAAGCAGTGATAGAACTGAGACCTGAAGGGTGAGAAGGGCCCATCAGTACGCATGGGGTCATCACATTGGTTTTATGATTTTTGGGAATTCAGGCCAAGGGACCAGCAGGTGCCCGTGCCCAGAAGAAGAGGAAGCTTGGGGTCTTTGGAGAATGGAAAAGAGGCCATCGTGGAGAGAGTGGTGCAAGATGACATTGGGAAGGAAGGCAGGGACAAATCCAGCAGGCAAGGGAAGGAGTTTGGATGTTCTTTTGCAGCCACTCCGAAGCCTGTATGGTGGGCTAGTAGTCAGCAGGGGCCAGCTGTGAACAAGACCCACCTGGGCCTGTCCTTGTGAAGCCTCTCCTGAGAATGGGGAGCTGCTTATGCAGACTAGGACTGGCTTCCATGGGCTAAATATATTCCACCTGGACTGCTTTGGGAACCTCTTTTGTATTTCCATTTGAGATTTTTAAATATATACGTTTGTTTGTTTTGAGTTGGAGTCTCACTCCATCGCCCAGGCTGGAGTGCAGTGGAACACTCATGGCCACCCCAGCACTGAACTGCTGGGGTCTAGTGATCCTTCCTCCTCAGCCTTCCAAGTAGCCAGAACTATAGGCATGTACTACCATACCTGGCTAATTTTTTGATTTATTGTGGCCCAGGAAAAAATACATATGTTAAGAAAAGCCCTATGAAGTATGTTGCTCAGGAGCTATCTCAATTCCAGCCTTGAATATTGAATTGCCAGCTGGGCTCGGTGGCTCAGCCTACAGTCCCAGCACTTTGGGAGGCTGAGGTGAGTGGATTGCCTGAGCCCGCAGGTTCGAGACCCGCCTGGGCAACTTGGCAAGCCTTCATCTCTACCATAAATCAAAAATTAGCCGGGTGTGGTAGCGTGCATCTGTAGTTTCAGCTACTTGGAAGGCTGAGACGGAAAGATTGCTGGAGCCCAGCAGGTCGAGGCTGCAGTGGCCGGGAGTGGCCACTGCACTCCAGTCTGGGCCCACCTGAGACCCCAACTCAAAAAAAAAAAAAAAATTTGAATTGCCTTAGATTGCTGCGGTCTTTGGTCATCTCTGAAGGAGGAATGTTGAGAATCCTATGTAGTGCTTTTTTTTTTTTTTTTAATTGAGGCAGAGAATGTCTTCCTTGCAGAAGGGAAAAACTGGAATGGTTGAGATTGACTCTGAAGCATCCTAGAAACAGAAGCAAAATTAGAGCTATATCTTTTGAAATTTTTGAAATAACCCCAAATACTCTTGCATTTTGAATAGTAAGTAGTACTGAGAGGGAGTTAATACAGTCATTCACTAATCAAAGTAGCTTTACGCTGGCATTTCTGTTTGTCATCAAATTGTCTAGCTGATGTCCACTCTTTTAAGATGAGAATGGAAGTATAGTCTTAGAGAACTTCTGAAAGGTCTTAAAAGCACCCAGCATGTGTTTTAGGAAATCAAGCTACAGTAAACAAAGTATTTCACATACACTCACTAAAGAAGCGTTAGATGCCACGGTAAGGGCAAGAACCATCAGTTAATTACTGCTTAGCACCAGCTACCAGTTAACTGATTGTTCATAACAAGAACAAAAGGGTAGCTTTGAAAATAAAGGACTTATGTCACATACTTCAGAACTTGAAGATTGTGCCCTGTCTATACATGCAAGGCAGCTGCGTTCTTCTGTGTCTGCATAGTACTCCGTCGTGTATCTAAACAGTAAATGTTTTGGTTGTTTTCAATCCTATGCCACCACAAAAAAGGCTGCAAGGAATATCTTTGTAGGTTATTTTGAACATGCCCCAGTATATCAGTAGGATGAATTCCTGAAAGACGTGCTGGTTGAAAGAGTATGCTGGTTGAAAGAGTATTATGGTTAAATTTTTGAGAGAGTATCATATTGCTCTCCTAAGAGGTTTTACCAATTTAAACTCCATCAGGCAATGTCAAAGAGTACTGATTCCACCACGCCCTCACCCACACTGTATATTACCAGGCTTTTGATCTTTGCTAATCTAATAGGAGAAAAATAGCACCTTATTGTAATAGTTTTAATTTGCATTAAGAGTGAGGTTGAGCTTCTTTTCATATGTTTAGAAGCCATTTGTGAGCAAAGATATTTTAATGCCTGGCACTAGCCTTGAATCTAGAAAGAATCTTAGCAGCATGTCTTGTCTTAGCAGTGTAAATGTTGTGTCCCTGTTTTAACTATTTGGGAACCAATTCCTTAGAGTGTACTTAGTACCTGATGAAGAAATGTTATCACTGATCCCTGCATACAGGGGCCTCTGGCTCTCACCGCAAGCATTTGCTCTCTGCTCCCAGTTGTCCAGCCCACCATCTCCCATCTGCTGCAGCTCTGACTCTGTACAGATGCTCCTTGATGAGAAGGAGACTTGCAGGAGCCAAAGGCCATCATCAGTCTCTTCCCTGTGGCCTACAGAGGGAGGGCACTGGACTGGAGCAGGAATTCTTCAGGCTGTGGGGTTTGTTGTTGTGATTTCATTGTGTAAATATTAAGAGCATTTTTTGAAATGAAGACTTTGGAGAACCCTGATGTTAGAAAGTGGTTGAAATGAGACTGATTTGGTGGGAGAAGGCATAGAAACCCTGGAACCTATCCCCTTAGCCTGCTGTCTCCTGGTGCCCTCCTTGTGGTGATCTCTGAGAAGTTTCTGTGGAGCCCTAAGGCGATCAAGGCACAATTCGAAAACCACTGGACTCAGTGTTTAAGGTTTATTCTCTGGTGACACGTCAGAGGTATTGGAGCATCGCCAAGTAAGGAAAAGCTTGGAGAGAAAATGGCCAGCCTCCTGAAGCATTTTATGTCAGAAACACAATATGAGACTGTCAATTCTCGAGGCTCTGTAAAGCCTGCACTCTGCTAATGAATGATATGTTCTGTACTCAGAATTTTTTCACTTGCACATGTTCTCTAGTCTTGTACATTTTTTCATTTGCATATATTTTGAGTACCCACTCAATGCTGAGTGTATGGGATTTCCGTGGTGACCAATGGAACACAGAATCTAATGAAAGATTCAGACACTGAATAGTACACACAAAATAAATGTGTAATTACAAATCATAATGAGTTGATATGAGGGGAAAGAACATGGTGCTAAATAAGACATCATATAAGTAACCTAAGTTAGGAGAGTCAAGGGAGGGCTTTATTGGGCAAGTTCTATTTGTACTGAGATATGAAGAGTGACTTGGAATTAACCATATGTAAAATAGAGGGGAAAGTATTCCAGCTAGTAAGAACAGCATATGCAAGAGTTCGGAATGCTTGACGCTTGGGGAAACTAGAAGATGGTCAGGTAATGGACAGCGGGAGTGGTAGTAGAGCATGGAGAGGCAGGTGGGGACGATTTGTGGCAGTGATGCTTTTCGATATGTAAAGTCTAATGCCTATTAAAAACCTAGGTGATCGTGATCATTGTATAACACTTTATTTACAGCCCAGTGGTTCCCAGACACAGGTAATGTTGGACAGCTCCAAGAGCGGAGTTTAGGAGAGGAGAGAAGTCCTTTGCACCAAAAACCAGCAACTGTCGAGAATACAGCTGAAGACATTGAACGGTTTTTGCTGAACTACCTCAAAGAGAAGGATGTGGCAGCTGGAAATGTCTTGGATTTTGATAATGAAGAAGGTAACCATTGTTTGTTTTGGCTTAGCTGGTTTCTCCTTTTTGAAACAATATTGTAAAAATGATGAAGCATCATTACAAGAATGTGGTTGTAAGAATAGTCACTCATAACCACACCATGCTAACATAGCCATTCTCATTCTTTGTATAATCTTTTTCTATTCTTTTTATTGCAAACCTGTTTTTATATGGTTGCAGCTATAGTTTAAATGCATCGTACCCTGTTTTGTGTTTTGTCATAAGCAACTCTTCGTGTTGCTATTGAGTTTTCATAATTAATGTTTTAATAGCTGCTACTAAATATTCATTCCCCTGCGGGATATTGAAGTTGCTTCTAGCTTTCACTCTAATAAACACTACTGCAGTGGATGATTCTGTGCATGTGACTTTTTTTTTTTTTGCATGTTTTTTTAAATTCCCAGAAGTGGGATTTCTGGGTCAAGGACATGAACATAATTTAATGCTTGCCAAATGCCTTTCAAACAGGTTGTGTCGATTTATACCTTTGCTTCAGCAGTGCAGAATTAATACTGGTTTCACCACAATATAGGTTTACCAACATAGCTATTAACAGTTTTACTATTCTTCCTAAATTAATAGGTGAAAAAATGTTCTTGTTATTTTACCTTGCATTTCTTTAATTATTGGCAGCATTGAATGTCTTTTTATAAGCTTCTTTCCTAACAGGTTTTTCTTTATGCTCATTGTCTGTTAAGATGCTTTGTCCATTTATTTAATTGGTAGGAGGGGATTTCAATGCCCCCCCCAATGTTTTTCTTACCAATTTATGTGATGAAGAAGAATGAAGTTCAGGCTAGTTGAAGCTTTGGCCTGTTGTTTTATTCACAAGCTCAATCTGGAGCTTCAGGTCATGGAAGGATTAATAAATTATTAGAATCTCCTCTGCAAATATAAAATGCCAAGTCATAATGAGCTTAGTGGTCTCAGAACTATCCTAAATCGAACTGAGTCCCAAATTAGTTTGTTAGGTTGGAATTGAACAAATTTCTTTTTTTCTTTCTCTCTCTCTCTCTCTATTGGGGGGAGGGCAGGGTGATCTCTGCTGTGAGACTCTGGTAAACTGAAGTCTGTACTTCCAGGGTAACAGGAAATAGCATCTCCATGCAATGAACTACATCAAATTCCACCTAAATAGTAAGAAGCATCACCGGGCCCAAATAATGAGTTATGCAAAGTTGAGTTATTGTTCTCCCTAAAGGCAGAGTTCTCTGACCAGAAATCTACCAGGCTTTTTCTTTGCAGATTAGGTTCCTAAGCCAACCCAGTCCTTTTCATTAACTGCACCCTCAGCCAAACCTGGAAACACTGAAGGGGAGGCATCCTGATCCCTCATAATCCGGTTTGCCATTCTTGTTTAAAATTTGAGCGCTGTCAGTGAATCCATTTCTTCATGATTAGGATCTTCTGGTTCTAGTTGATGTTCACTAGGAGCAGAATGAATGAATCAAACCCTTCTTCCAATAACGGAAATATCCACATCCCTCAAATAACATTCCGCAATAGGTGAATTTCAAACAACAAATCCCCCTCTGGGGGAAGAAAAGCAGAGGCCTATCATTCTCATGATTACCATTCATCAAGTACACACCACACACTTGGCATTCTAAGGAATGTTTATCTCAGTGCTGGTCTGACATGAGTGTTTTGTTTTACCACATAAAAGCACCTTATATATCTGAAGTCCCGTTCTTCAAGAAATCCAAGCATTCTGCAAATGCTTTTTCATTTATCTTTTCAGCATCTGGTAGAGACAGGTGCAGCCTGTACTGTAGGATTTCGTCTTTCCAGCAGAGGAAACTGGAATGGGAAAAGTTAAGGGAGCAATGCTCCACTCCATGGAAATGAGCACAGCTGGTCATGGGGCTTTGGGGCGGGGCATGGGGGCAGGACTGTAGGCAGAGGAAAATCAGGGTGGGGATTTTGGCCTTGGTTTCATGCGCTTCTCAAGTCTTGTTAGTGTTGTTTTAATTCACAAACTCACACGTGTCTCGTGCAGTGCGGCACTCTAGGCAGTGAGAGGGTGATAGTGACTGGTAGCACTCATCCCATTTGACCCTTTCAACAGTATATGTGGTGTGTATGCTGCATCCCCTCTTCTAAGACGTGGTAACGTAGATGAGAGAAGTTGCCAATAGACTGTCCTCTAATCCATGCCCATGTACTGCGCCAAGCTGCCCTGGCATCTTGTCTCCCACGGTGATAAGCAAGGCTTGGTTCCGGCCATCAGATGTTCTTACTCATGTGGAGAAGCAGGCGTGCATCCCTTTTAGTCAAAGGATGGTCCAAGAGGAAAGGAAAGTGAAGGGCCGAGCAAAGGCCAGTCCCAGAACGGCCCAGCCTCAAGGCTCCAGATGAGAACCCCGCTGGATTATGGTTTTCCTTTAAATATTTATTAATGGAAATTTAGAAAAGACCAAAGGCATAGGGAAAACATTTAAACCGTCTATTATTTCATTGCCCTGTCACTGTTAATATTTTGTTGTACTTCCTCTCATGCAAAAATTTATTGTGCTCATGCTGCATGTGCAATTTTGTATCATGCTTTTTTGTCTTTTTTAAAAAACACAGTATTTTATAAGCATTTCCCTTGTCAGTAAAACTCATGCTAGGCCAGGCGCAGTGGCTCATACGTATAATCCCAGTGCTTTGCTTTGGGTAGTTGAAGCAGGAGGATTGCTTGATCCTAGGAGTTGGAGACCATGCTGGGCAAGATAGTGAGACCCTGTCTCAACAAAAAGTAAAAAAAATGAGCCAGGTTTGGTGGTATGCAACTATAGTCCTAGCTATTCATGAGGCTGACAGAGGAGGGTCGCCTGAGCCCAGAAGTTTGAGGTTACAGTGAGCTATGACCACGCCACTGCACTCTAGCCTGGGTGGCAAAGTGAGACCTATCTCTAAAAAAAATTTTTTTAATTAAAAAAAAGCCATGTTAAACACAAATAACCTTATTACATGCCATTATATGACTGTGCCATGGTTTATATAACCATTTTCCTTTGAGTGACAGTGTCTTAGTCCATTTCTACTGCTGTAACAAAATACCTGAGACTAGGTAATTTATAAAGAACAAATTTATTTTCTTAGCAGTTCCGGAGGCTAGTAAGTCCAAGGTCAAGGTGCTGGCTGGTTTGGTTGCCTAGGAGGGCTTGTTGCCATGTCCTCCTCAAGGAAGGAACACCATGTCCTCACCTGGCAGAAGGCAAAAGGGCAGATGAGCTGATCACTATGATAAGAGCCTTAATCCTATTCATGAGAGGAGGAGCTCTCATGCTCCAATCACCTCGTAAAGGCTCTACCTCTTATGACCACATTAGCCATTAAGTTTCAGTACCTGAATTTGGGGAGGACACATTCAGACTATAGCAGAGGGGTTTTCCCACTTTTAGCTGTTAACAGTTATTGCTGTTGTGAGTATCTTGACCTACAGACCTTTACCTAAATTACAGATGGTTTCCTTTGGATCTGTTCCTAGATATTTTCTGTAAGTCCTATTCTTGAGTCTGAAGTGGGGAATCAAGCTGGGTGGGACATATCTTAAAAAACACTGTCCCCCTATGTGCTTTTTCCAGAGGAGCTGTCAGTCCCTCCAAAAGTGGAAGAAAATGGTTTGCATCCAGATGCAGAACCACCACTGCCAGTGCACATCCAAATAGCCATGGACGTGATGGAGCGCTGCATCCACTTGTTGTCAGATAAAAATCTACAAATCCGCTTGAAGGTCAGTGTGTAGTCCCTTCTCTACATTCACAGAGCAGCAGAACTGAGCATGGTCTGGTCCGCAGTGCCTACACAGATGAACATGTAGCCTCCCTTGGATCCTGGCCCGTGTGTAGTGGCCAAGAGAAGGCATCAAAAGGAATTTTTCTGTGGGGTGACAGTTTTACATCTTTCTGTGTCAACTTAGATGCCAAAAGAGGCTGAGCCTCTGGTTAAAAACCACAAAGTTTTGGGGAATTCCCTGAATCTCCAAGGGAAAGAAAGCCACATGTTTTGGAAAGGGTATCATTTTCTGAGCTGACTCCATGTGGGATGCAGGTTTTAATACTTTAAAATCGTCTTTCTTCCAAGCCTGACACTGGCCCTTATCTCTGTTTTCTGTTTCCATTTTTATCCTAGAAAAAACTCCAACACTTTGCAATATTACATTCTGGTTTGCTGGCAGTTTCCCAAGCAGCACCCCTATCAGGAAAGGCTTAAAGTATACAGTAGTGACTGCAATAACAGGACAGTGGGGTGTGGTGATAGTGTGGGTCAGGGCTTTCAGAGTCACCCAGGAAAGATCTTATGCCCCGAGGAAAACAATACTCCTCTCTGCCCCCAAGCAGGAGTGAGAAATGCAGCTGCCTTAGGGACTATTAGCAACGAGAGCATGTTGCCTTGCTCAGAGGTGATGGGCTGGGAAACCCTGATGCAGATTATCTCAGATCTCAGGGTCTGTGTTTTGTGGAATTTGTTCAGTCCTCCCAAGATACCTCTTAGTATTCATCTGTTGTTCCATTCAGCAAGTACTTTTTGAGTTCCTATTACATGCAGGACTTTAACGTAGGTGCCTGGATGATACATTCAACAAACTCCTGTATAGCCTTCAACACCTTCCCTTTTATGGAGGCTTTGTAGTAGCTGTATTCACACCATAGTTATTAAGAGCGTCAGTGTTAGAGTCAGACCTACATTCCTGAGTTCAAATGCTGATTCTGCTCTTTATAGCCATGTGACCCTGAGTCATTTAATTCGCCTTTTTGAGCCTTGGTGTCTTCATCTGCAAAACGGAGCCAATGTACCTACTTCACAGGGTTGTTGGTTATAAATACAAAACAACAAGCATAGGTTGGGCACAGTGGCTCATGCCTATGATTCTAGCACTTTGAGAGGCCAAGGCAGGAGGATCGCTATGATCATACCACCACACTCCAGCCTGGGTGACAGAGCAAGACCCCCATCTCTAGAAAAATAAGGCAAACCATTAGCATGAAGTAAGACAAGTACACTCACTCATTCACTAAATGCTTATTGAATCTTACTGCAGACCAGACAGAGGGTATGTAGAAGGAAGTGATACAGATATGACCCCCATCTTTATGGACGGCAGAGAGGCGATACAGGCTCACACCTACCAGCTGGGGAAATGCTATCAAGATAATTAGTAGGTTCTGTGTGATCGAAAATAGTTACTCAACCATGCAGCAGGTGTGCATTAAGAGCCTTCTCTGCACCAGACCCTGCTGAGTGAGACAGAACTTCCATCCTGAATTGGACCTGGCTGCTACGGAAGGTCTCTCTGAGGTGGTCACATTTCTAAAGGTTGAGAAGGAGCCAGCCATGCAAAGGGACAAAGGCAGGGAGAAGAACATTCCAGGCAGAGTAGGAAATGTGCATCTTTGAATCCGTGAACTATTGTGTAACTTGTCCACCTGGGGACAGAACTCAAATTTAAAGCCAGTGAGGAACCAAAGCCATTTCTCCCATATTACCCTGCTCTCCACTGTACTGCTGAGCTTTCTCCTGTTCCCCTGCCTAACTGTTCACCCTCAATGGCAGACCCTCTTCTGTTCCATTTTCAGTATGGGCCAGCATGTAGTGGGCACCAGAAGGGTCTATTGCTGATGTCGGCAGACTTCCCTCTGTCTTTCTGACTCACACATGAGCCTCTCTGGCCCATCCACGGGAGAGAAACCCTCACTGGTCATCGTGCTGACCACTGCCTACAACACTGACACAGGCCATCTGTTCTCAATGAGATAAAGAAGTAAGGAAGGTAAAAAGTCAGTTGACATGTAGCCTGGCCCAAGTCTTTCTTGTGAGGTTACTGTTCCTCAGCTGCCTGCTTGGTCTCCCCATGTGGCAGTGAGAACTGATCTCACCTAGCCTCTCAACTTGCTCCCCCAGGGGCTTCCGTCTCATTCACTGCCACCTGTACCTCCTCGGGACTGCACCTGAATTCAAGCAGCTCTTTTTTATCTAGTCCTGTAGCAATTTAATCCATGTTCTCTCCAGATCTCCAGTCCGCACACTTCTCTGCCTTGGCCACATTTGGGCATGTGCCATGGCCTCCAAGAGGCCCCCCCCTTGCCTCTGTCTCTCCCCCACCTCAAATCCTTCCCCCACTCAGCAGAGTGGACTTTTTAAAACATGAACTGTGTCATGCCTCTTTGATGGCTTCCCACTGTACTTGGTACAAAATAATTTCTCACATGACCCGTTTGTGGTCCAGCCCCATCGCCCTTTCTCTGTAGCACTCCACTACAAGTTCTGTCCCACCTTTTGGTCTTCCTCATACAGCTTCCAGGTGTTGGAACACAATTCCAGTCTTCACAGGACTAACTCCTACTCATCCTTTACATCTCATCTTAGAGGCTACTTCCTCAGAGAAGACGTCCCAGCAACCTGTGGTTTCCATCCTTCCCTTAGTGCTTTGTATTTCACCCTTTTCTTTCCTTCTTGGCACTGTTGATGATCCTGTTTATTTGGGTGTTACCTGATTACGGTCTTTCTCCAGTTGATGTAAACCCTGTGAAGGCAGGGAAACATGTGCATTTTGTCCCTGGGTGTCTCTCTGGTCCCTGGCCAGTGCTGGGCCTGTAGTCACACTCAGTAAACATTTATTCTTTTAAAATGGTGACTTGACCCCAGGTATCTGGCTTTAAGCCTTTATTGTCTGCTGAAATCATGTTGTTTCTTTCAGGTCTTGGATGTGCTGGATTTGTGTGTGGCTGTCCTGCAGTCCCACAAGAACCAGCTCCTTCCCTTGGCTCACCGGGTTTGGCCCTCGCTCGTGCACCGACTCACACATGACGACCCCCTGGCAGTACTCAGAGCCTTCAAGGTATCACATGGTGCCCCCCACTGTCTGTCAGGACAGAACTCACCAGGGTCTTTTGGACTGTCTCTCTTCACCTGACTGCAGTGTCACATACCTTGAGGAAAGTGTAGAAAAATGAGAAAAGCACAGAGAAGAAAGTCACAGTCTGCCTCCTTTTGAATTTGAAGCAGAGTGAACTAGTAGGTGAAAAGGGCAGCTCATGTTTCTTGAGCACCCCAGGTGCCAGGCAGTGAGTTTGGCACTGCTCTACAGGAGGTCATCTCACAGCAGCCTGGCAAGGTAGGTGTATTCTCTCCATTGCTGGCAGAGGAGGAAACAGGCTCAGAGAAGTTAAGGGATTTTTCTCAAGATTACACAGATCAGTGAGTTCACATGCATGTTCTTTGCACTGCACAGGAGTCAAGGTGAAGGGGCCTAGGTTCTAGCAATGGGCATCCTCTGTCCAGTAAGTGACTGGGCAAAGCTCCTGACACCCATTTCAGGTGGCTTAGAAACACCCTTCTTCTCATAGTGCTGTCAAAGCTAAAATGGTACTACTTGGTGAAATGCTTTGAAAAGCTAAAAAAACCCTTTATATGTAAGATGTTATTCTCTCTGCCTTAGTTTGGCTTATATTAGCACATATATTTTGGCTTATTTATTTATATCCTTCCTTGTTCTAGAAAGCACTTAAGGCAACCTACAGATATTGACCATGACGAGCTAACATAAATTAGAAGAAGGTGAGCAAGATGAGACAAAGGAAAACAATGCGAAGGGACATGAAATGAGGCCAGGAGTCACCTAAGACACTTGGCAAAAGTAGTGCGGTTTTTTATAAGATTCTTCAGCATACCCCAGGGCAAATTAAAAATATATGTAATTGATAATTTTTTTTTCAAAGCAAAATGCACAAAATGACTGTGTATGTCTGTGTGTGTGTATAAGGAAAGGAGGGAGGTATTGCAAAATCTTACTCAGGGATGCTGTTTTTCTTTATGAAAATTAACTGGTTATCTGAAATGACAGCAAGCATAGACAAATGAAAAAATATAAAGCTCTATGTGGGTAACTGAGGCTGCTTTTCCCACATGCAGACACTTTGGTGACACCTGAGGTCTGTAGAATCTGTACCGTTCAGCTGAGGGGCCTGAAATGAGCGCCCTGTTCTCTGCAAAGTCAGCACTCTATGTGCTGGTTATGCCTTGCTTACCAATTTTTAAAGAAATTCCTATTATCCTGTGTACTCAGTCTTGTGCAGCAGGGCAGGACGTTTCAATATGTTCTGCTAGAGAAAGTTTAAAATGAGACATGCAGAGAAACTGTCTGTTGTGAGAGATGGAACGACAGTGATGTACATAAGAGATTGTACAGTTGAACAGAAGGAGTGTCTAATTGGCTCCAGCCACGGAGACCCAGCCTTGGTCAGCCCTGGGATCTTGGCCTAGTCACTGCCCTCCCAGTGCCTGTGTGTGGCGGCATCTGGACCTTGGTGTCTGTGTTTGCTCAGCTAGCTAGAGTTGAAAACATAAGTATTTTCTCAAGGGATGTTAGGAAGATTCAAGAGATGATCTATGTGAACTGCTTTAAGCTCTTCCTTTTTTTTTAACAAAAAAAGGAGGAAAATCAAGGTATTAATCATATTATTCATCCAACCCAAGATCCCCTTGAATTATTTTCTGTGTAATCTGTATTTATGGATAGAAGCAGCCATGCCTTGGGAGCAGAGACCTCCAAATTCATAACTGTCAGAATCACAAACCGTGGGCAAGGAATTAACAGCAGTAATTCTATTTTTTTTCAAGCAGAGCCCTAGATGAAATTGAATTACCAAGCATTCTTTAGTTCCCTTGCTGCCTTGGCGATGTTCACTCACCGGGTTGGGGCTGTTTCTGCAGGTTTTGCGTACCCTGGGAGGCGAGTGTGGTGACTTTCTACGTAGCCGGTTCTGCAAAGATGTCCTGCCAAAGCTGGCTGGCTCCTTACTCAGCCAGGCTCCCGTCAGCGCCAGGGCTGGATCAGTTTACTCACACACACTGGCGTTCAAGTTGCAGTTGGCTGTCTTGCAGGGATTGGGCCCACTCTGTGAGAGACTGGACCTAGGTAGGTACTGGCAACCCACCTGGACACACGAGGTGTCTGTCTCGCCCCTGCTGTGGCACTCCTTAGTCGTGTTCCCTCCCTTGGCGTACATGCCTCCAGTCTTACTTTGGCCTCGTTCATCCATCTGTTTTGATGTGTTCTTTGCCTGGCAAGATGGGGGTAGAGAACCCAGGACATCTTGCCTGGCTGCTCCATTTTCCCCAGACAGCAGTTGGTCACTGCTTGTCCCTAATGAAGTCTAAGGACTGATGCTTGTTTTGTTTTTCCTCTTTGCAGGTGAGGGTGACCTGAATAAAGTGGCTGATGCCTGCTTGATTTACCTCAGCACCAAACAGCCCGTGAAATTACAGGAGGCTGCCAGGAGGTATGTCTGCTTGATCGCCCGCGTCTCTTTACGTTTGTTCTAAATTACAGATAATTTGCTAATGGCGAGCAAAGTTGAGGCATCTCTGCTCTCTCATCTCGTCTCTCCCTTCTTGCCAGGTTAAGATGATTTCTTTAGCTGTGCCAACTCTAGAGATGGTATTTTCACTAGACGCATTTCTCTTTGCCAGTAACCTTTTCCCCTGCTGCAGTGTCAGCAATAACTCCAGAGGGTCGAGAAGCAGAAAGGTGTGCTGGAGGAGGTCTGTTCTAGGCCAGGTGCCTGGCACTGCTCCGTTTCACAGCCGTCTCAGCAGAAGAGCAAAGGCACTGTGTTCCTGATCTGGCACACCTCGGCTCCATGGAGGGTCTTGGATGGGCGTCAGTGCCACGAACCTCGCAATTTGCACACAGAATTGTATGTGTGGTTAGGCAGGGGCATACAGTCTTTTTTCTAGACAGAGTCCACACTGTTCATCCGGCTCTATAGGCATCTGTGATCCACAGAACATTAAGAACTGCCAGACTAATGGCTTAAAGGGCCTTTTCTAATTCTGAAATTATGTGATTCTAATTTCCACGAGTTTTGACCATGCTTATTAGAGAATAGCTATACCATCTCTAGCAGAAGAAGCTATTTCTGGTTTTTTGACTACTAAGAGCTGAAGCTCTGAGTACAGCAGCATTCCCCAGACCTGAGACCCAGAACCCACTCTGGCCCTCCTCCCTGTTCTCTTTCCAGCTGAGTATACCTGCGTCCTGGGCCTGCCATTCCGGGACACCTGCTCTGGGGCGAAAGCTGGGCTGTGTGTGGCTGGGTGCTGTGCGCTACTCCAACCCAACCTGCTCCCTGCCTGCAACAGAATCCCATCTCCTTTGCCCTGGTGGCACGGACCTGATCATCTTGGTGGGTGAGGAGTTAGGAGTCAGCTCATTCCCTGAGGGGCTACAAGGCTGCTCTGACTGGAAATGAGAAGAGCCAACCTGCTCCCTTATAAACCTTGCACTCCCCATAAGTGATGAGAATATCTTTTTGAATTGATTTATTGTCCTGGCGATTTTTTGCTCTTGATTTCCCCAGTTTCCTTTTTTCTTCCTGTCCCTTTCCCGTCACATCCCTGAGTCCCAAAATCAGTCATGGTTCTGTGAGCACAAGAGTGCATCCCAATGAGCTTCCTGTCCCAGACATTCTTATTCCTCACAAAGCCACTGAGGGTGGAAACAGCCTCCCTGGGTGGAGCCCTGCAACTGATTGTGCTGTGATTTAAAGTGCAGCTCAAGAACATAATGAATTTATTGTGAAGTAAATGCTTTTAGATGCCTGTTACAACCAGAGTGACAAAGACCTGATTTTCACATTCCCAGTTCCATTCCACTTTTCCTATACCCACCCCATCTCATCCTTCAAGTTTAGAACCATCAAACAAGCTAATATTCTCAATTCATTATCTTTTCATTTCTAATTCTCTTTTTTGCCACTGAAAGCAATTAAACCCGGAATTGGACCTTGCTGAATCCTGAGTTGGTATTCAAGGTGCCTCGGAGGAGACAAATGCAGCCAACCCTCTTGACTGCAACTCCCTTTGTTTGCTCCAGTGCATTCTGTGAGGGCTTGAGTCAGATGACCTCCCTGCTGACAGGCGGGAAAGGGAGGAAGTGCAAGGCTGATTGCCTCACACACATATCACCTGCAAACTTATTTTGAAGTCAGGAAAAAAATCAGTGTTGTCCTTGATCAAGAGCTGATTTGGCATCTTGATTCAGAAATTAATAAGCTCTCTAAATGGGAGAAGCAGCCTGAGACAATAGGAAACTTGGTCTCTGTGTGAGCTTCATTACCTTGTGGAGGGAAGGAGTGGGTGGGCCAGTGAGTCTTGAAGAGCCGTAGCAGCTGGTGCTGAGGAGGAGGTTCCCTGAATGAGATGGGGTTCTGCAAATGGCCCACTGTCCATCCAGTTTGTCCTTCATCCTTCACACTCACGTCCATTACCAAAGGTAAAGCCTGCCCACCTCACTGGGAAAAATCACTCAAAGCCGCCAGGCCAGGCCTGGCCACCATCATCTCTCCCCGGAATGGCCACTGACAGATGCCTCCTCACTGGTCCTCTGCTTCCACTCCTGCTCTAGGCATTTTCCACACAACAGTCAGAGTGGCACACACACACACACATTCACTCTCATGGGAGAAGAGAAAGCTGTGTTCTTCACTAGGGCCCGAGGGGAAGCCTCAACTTAGCATTCAAAAGAACCAGTAAAAGTCTGAGATGGCCGGAGGTAGTGAGTTTCCCACCCTGGGCAGGTGACCAGCTTATCTGCCAGAGTTCTGAGGCATCCGGCATTCTGGAAGGAACTGAATGCACCCAACCCCTGGAGCAACCCCCTGCAGGTCGGTTGGGGCCTCTGAGGGGTGGCCTTCCTTGTGGGGGTGAGACAAGCTTGGCAGCCCTGTGAAAATCCTCTTTATGTGCATTATGGCTGGGTTTTTCCTTCCTCCTGCTTGCTTTTCCTGGCTCCAAAGAATGACCAAGCCTGTGTTTGCTTTTTTAATTTGTCATATTAAATATAGCCTTTGTGGCAGGCTTTTACATCCAGGCTGTAAACTCTAGAAATGGAAATTGATCAGGGGGTGGTTGATATAACCGAAGCTATAAATGCTAAGAACGGAGATGCCATTCCAGTTTAATGCTTTTATCTAGCGAATGTGCCTTGTATGGAGGGGGCATAAATCTTGCGGTGGGGGGAGGGGCCGGGGCAGAGTGTAACCTTGCTGTATGTTACCACCAGGTGTCACTGTTAACTGGAGATGCAAAAAACAAGCCAGCTCCCCAGTCTGTCTAGTTAAATGACTTCAGTGGATGGCAAAAGAGTAAATTATATTTGGGGTGTGGGAGGAGGGGTCAGCTCACCAGGAGCTAAAAATAAGGCAATGTTACTGAGGGTGGACATTGGGTGCCAAACAGCAGGTCAGATGGCCCCGCCCCTGCAGCCCACTGCAGAGGCTGCTCCCCCATTTGAAATTCTCAGCCTTCATACTACCTCCTCGCTAGCTGTGGGCCTTCAGGTTCTGAGCCTTCTGGCCCGGGAGCTTTCCTCTTTCACACATGAAAGGGATTTGAGATGAGAACGTACACCCCAGGTTTGTTTCTCCTTCAGGTCAGTACATGCACTCTGCCTGACTTAACTGCACTAAAACCACACCCCTTGGCCAATCTCCTAGCGGTCTCAGAGACTCCTGTCTATTGCAGTGAGGTCTTATGTCATCCAATGATCCTTCTACCCTGAGCTAAAAGGAAGCAAAACTAGGCCATACCTATTTTTAAAAAGATAAAGTCCATGCCCAACGTGCCTCACAATAGAGGAACAAAGCTTTTAGACTGTGTGGTCTCTGCCCCAAGTACCCCTCACTTGCTAAGCCGGGAGCTCAGGATGCAGGTGCCAGCAGGTAGTGACCAGCTGATGTACCTTCTGGCCATGCAAGAAGACTGGATGCTGTTTGGCTGTAGTCCTTGATGGCAGGAGGAAGGGGAGAGTTGCCCTTCAAGCTTGCTCTGCCTAGCCATTGTGTGTAAGGGTCGCACAAACCTGGGTTCAGATCTTACTGGCCGTGTGACCTTGAACAAATGACTTCGTTTCCTTTCATCTCATTTTCTTCCTCTATAAACTGGGCTGTTGATAACCCATTCTCACAGGCTTGTTGTGTGGATGAGTTACACTCCGTGTTCAGGGAGTCCACAGGGTATTAGGCACTGAAATCAGGGAACAGGGCAGGAGGCCTCTGCCCTCATGTGCTTATGTTCCTCCCAAGGTTTGTTTATACAGGTACGTACGCTCATGTGGGATACTCATATGTAAGCTTGCCAAATAGAGGGTGAATCATGTATGTGTTACATAGATACATATGGGCGTAATATTTCTTGTAAGACCTGCTTGTCTTAACTGAAATCTCAGCAGGGTTTTTTCACCTCAGAAGGATCTTTTTCATGTTAATTGTGCCACCTCCTCCACCCCCATTCACAGGAGAAGTCAGGACCAGGTTTGATGTTTCATTTACTGACTGACTTCCCTGCTCTCTTTCTAGCAGTAGGATCCCAGGCCATCAAAGACCCAGCAGTGCCTTTAAGCCCTAGATGAGCACGTACTGGCACAGGCTCATTCATTTCATCCCCGTCAGAGCCCCAACGCCTCTCTTTATCCACACATGAGCCTATTCTATTTGAATGGATCAGGAGCCACAGAGGTGATTCGTTAGTTCAGCTGAGCTTGAAATTAGCAGCTCATCCCCGTAAATGGTGTGGGCAGTTTGTCTGACTTGGGCTGCAGAGCTGTTCCCCCTTGGATTGCACCTGGCATGGAAATGAGGGCACTCCTGATATTTTTCCTTTTGACACTTGATTAATAGTTGACAAATCCAGACCCACGAAGTTAGCTCCCCTGTTATCCATCTTTTGACAGGCATTGCTGCTTTTCTTTTTAAGGAGCATTGTTCTAAAAATATACTCAGATCTGAGGCTGTTCACTGTGTATATATAGGCCTGATTTCATGGTGTCAAAGATAAGAGACATCTGCCTTGCAGATTACAAACAAAGTGGGTTGCTGGGCTTCACATCTGAAGGCAGGGACCTCTGTGCTACTTAAATTAAATGCTGCCAATTCCTTCCCTACTTCCTTGGTATAGTCATGTCTCTGATAACCTGCCACGGCCAACCATTTCACCACCCAGTGGGAAAGCCAAGAGTGGGATGTGTATGCACAGGTATGTGCCGTGCTGGGTCAGGAACAGGATGCTCTTGCTGCAGATGGAGCCTGGTAGTGGCACTGCCTGCATGAAGAGGCTTGCAGTTGTCAGAAGCCATGGCATGCACAGGTTAACCATTCCTTCACTGTGCAGGGTCTGTCATCTGTTTAGAACACCTAGAGGCTGGAATGAATGTAGTCTCAGTACCAAGTAAAGCAGCCAGGGAGGTCATCTCGATTGTCTTGTTACATGTGTCTAAAAGATT